CGTGCGTGTAGTTCGAGAATGTCGAACCGAGTTTCACGACGAATTGAGCGTATCCTAAGCGCAAACTCGCCATCGTCACAAGGAGATATTCGTCGTGTACTGGGCGGATGTAAAAGAATCGAGGAGCGCAAGGGCGACCAACGACGAGGGGAAACAGAAAAAGGTCGCGCGGGCACGGAACAAAGCCGCTGCTGCTATTTTTGTGCGTGAAAGGTTGCCTTCGCTGCTGCACCGGTGGACGAAGAAAAGAAACGGGAGCAAGCGAGGAACAACGAGAGCGAAATGGCCAAGACGAGACGAGGAGCAAGAGAAAGGGATACCGAGAACATCGATGACAATGTCTCTTACCTGGTCTGGATTGCCTGGCACGTCGGGCCCGGCAAGCAATCATCCTTAATTCGTGGATGACGTTGGAACGATGAGTGATACGAGGCCAGGATTCAGCAGTACAGAACAGAGAAATAATCCAGCTTTGTCCTGTCAACTCTGTCTGCGGCTAATGAGCCTTTCCTTATCGTCTTTCTGACTCTCTCTCTCTCTCTCCCTCTCTCTCTCAGTTGATCCGCGTCACGGCCCGATACCCGCCAATAAACCGTTTAATTTTGCACCATCTTCACCGTCCGGAGTCCGTCGAATTGCAGTAGTCCGCAGTTAACCGTCTGTCGCTATCCCCACCAATTCTTGGAATTGGGACTATCCCCACTCTACGCTACCGCCTCACGGCCACGTAAAGCGTGAAACAAAAAAAAAGAAGCGATGTTTCGATGGCACGTTGTGATTCTTTCGATCAAAGTTTGGCAAATTCAAAATCACGTTAAATAACAGATACATTATGTATCAATACGACTAGATATAGAATCATACTGTCGTGTATCGTTAGTTTGATATTGACGAAAATGTAACAAGGTTACATCATTTATCCAAGGTTTCAGTTATTGATCAACAACAAGTTTCATGGGAATTTCAATAAATTTTAAATTTAGATTAATTACGATCGTTTGATAATTACTGCTTTGTCGCAATCTAATGCTTCATTTAGTTTGAATGTATGCACGCGTGAAATTTAGTTCGAATGCATTCAATTTAAATAAAAATGTTAAAATGTTACGTTTTTTCTTTGCAATCGAATGATGTAGTAATTAATACGCCGTATGTGGCCTAGTATCGCTCATCCCCACTCTTCTTTTCGCTGCCAGTTCGCAGACTACAATTCCCCGTTTAAGCGTCCGAACCGGTGGATCCTTAACTGAGGACTACTGTATATATTTGTACAGGGTGGGTGAAAAATCACTTCCTACCAAGATAAAAAGTAAAACAAAATACTCTGGCGGTGAACATTTGAAAGAAATAATTTTTAAAACACAATGGAAAAGATCGCTGTTTGAACTGAAATTTAAATAGTTTTTTTTCCCTCTTATATTTTGATGTTTCATTAGGGGTTTCAACGATTCGCTGGATTTTGGAATCCATAGACGCCAAGATAATTAGCCGTTTCATCGAATTTGAGGTCAAAGCATAAGATTCCCAATCCAAAGAAAGAAAAGAAAAAAAAAAAA